TTTTTTTTTTTTTTTTTTTTTTTTTTTTTTTTTTTTTTTTTTTTTTGTTTGTTTGTTTGTTTGTTTGTTTCTCTTCTCATCCCCTATCCTTTCAAATCGGGATTTCTTTTGGTTTCTGACAAGGTGCTTTGCTCTGCTTATAGCTGAAGCCTACGATCAAGAAAGGGACGCAGTTTTATGAGTTTTAGAGTGGCTCAGGGAGAAACTCTTGGTACTTGCAGCGGCACCTCCTGGAGCAGTGTGAGTGCAACGAGGGGCGGTGGGAACGCTACTGGTCAGGTGGAAAGTGAGAACCGGTGAAGAGCAAACTTGAGTTGTTCCCATTGAGATCAATATGCCATGAAGATCCAAGGGAGCGTGGTGGGAAACCCGTCATGGCAGCTCGGGCTCTTTACAGGGTGTTTGGAAAGCCATAATGAGAGAGTAGCCCTGATGGAGATAGGGATTTCGTTGGTGAGATGATCTAGCTGGCACATGATTTTGTCTTGACTGCTAGATCTTTAAGCAGTAGATTTGGTCTTGTGGATTAGATATCGATATTGGTGTTTTGATTTCTGAGTGTCGTAAACGCTTTCGTGAAATGCATCCTTTGGAATCTACTCACGATAACCCGACAAGGTAGTATGGGCAGCGGCACTACGGAGGCAGTGTGAGTGCTACCGGCAGTGGTGGGAACACTCTCCTTGCCTGTAGTTAGGGCCTCGTTCCACTACTCGCCATCCGCAACAAACAGTGGCGAGACTTGGCGAGGCCGAAAACTGCATTTTTCTGGCGGAAAAAGGGTCTTGGTTCCATTACATCGCCGCCGCCACGTGCGCTGTGGTTGCTATCCCGGCCTGCTCCCGGACTGTGGCGGATGGCGAGCTAATGGAACGGTGGCCGCCTTCTCTTCACCATGTACTCGGACTGGAAATCACTCCAGGTGCAGCTAAAACTTGCCAACACTAGGGGACAACGCAGGTCGACTGTCAGGATGGCTGTGTCAGGGGCAATGGCCACACGAAGCATTTCGCGGAGGGGTGAGGAGTAGAGCCTCCACGAAGGGCCGTTGCAGGCAGGGGAAATGAAAAGCCTTGGCGGCACATCGTCAAGTGATTTCACACCCAAATTCTGACAGCCTCCATTTCGTGGCTATTGGCGATGCAGTGGAACCAAGTCGCGTCTGCCATGCGTGGCGGATGGCGAGTAGTGGAACGAAGCCCTTAGCATAATTAGGGTAGGAAGCAAAAGTGACCTGTATCCATAGTGACCTTGGTCCCTTGATTGATATTGTCTCTGAAGATCCAAGGGTGCGTGGTGGGAAGCCCTTCTTGGCGGTTCAGGCTTCCTTGATTTTACAGATCAGTACTTGGTCTCTTTTCTGTAAGATCTTGAAGCCAAGCTGGGTTCGTGAATCTCTCTGGGAGATCCGGGATATGAATTCCTCAGTAATTCTTGGCTGTTTTGCTCCCCCTATTATGAGTCCTAGAAGTTTTGCTCCAGTTGCTCACTTTCTTTGTAGTTGCAGACCAGGGGACGCTGGACTCGGTTTCCAGCACAAGCTTCACTACCGGGTTGAGATGTTGAGGGATTCCCGGCCTCATTCATTTACTTTTATAATATAAGCTGCGATTAAAAAAAAACAAAAGCTAAAAAAAAGAAAAGGTCGGCAGATTCTTTCGCAGGTGCCGACCCAGCCAGTCGTGCTCGTTTTGTCCCGGGGCGAGGTCCCGACAGTCGAGGGCTTTGTCTTTTCCGACGCCTCCATTTTCCGGTTTCAAATTGGCGAGCAGCGGAGCGCGGCAGAGTTTTTGTTGCTTTCTGTTTGATGGAAAGCGTGCGTGGACTTTGGACGTCGCCACTTCACAGTAGAAACCAAACCAGCGATAGGGCCTCGCTGCACTACTCTCCAAATGTGCAAAACGAGAGTGAATCTTCCGCTAGAATATGGAAAGGTACACCCCCAATATTTTTGTTTTGTGTGCATGTCGAGAGTAGTGCAGCGAGGCCCATATACATATGCAGCTTTGAGCACATATGAGCGGTAATAGATGCATGTTGCCACGTTTGTGCGGAAGATACGCCCGTCCTTTTTTCGCTTCGACGGTGGTCTGGCAATGCCATGTATTGCTCATAGACCGGCAATAATCCTAGATATCCTAGATATTGACTACTCCTAGGTCGTAAATCCCAACGAAAGAGCCAGTGTTTACTACGCGCGGGAAGGCACAGACACAAACAGGCGCCAAGGTCTCATTTTGCACATTTCCAGAATACTGGAGCGAGGCCCAATATTCAACGAAAAACGAAATTGTGCGTGAAAGGGACATACAGGCGAGCCCCCGTTCCCACCACGTGACCCTCCTCTGGGATAGTGTGGAGCCATCACGGAAAGATTCCGACCCTGCATCGGGCAGGTGCTCTTCTTACCCCATCTCTTTTTTTTGTTTTTTTGGCGGCAGACAGTTCCGAGTTGCAGGTGTTGCAGAGGAGGGCCGTAGCAAAGGAGATGGCTCATGTGAGGAAGGAATAAAAGAGATCGTAGCGATTCCCAGATCAAGCGTGCTCACAACCGCACGGGGCGATTGTCTTCTCTCGGCGCAAGGTACGTGGTGAGCAGTGGCTCTGTGTACTCGCTTCAGCAATAGGCACTCATTTTGCGTTCCGTCCTTTCGATACGTCCTTTTCCTTATTTCGGCTCCACGAACTTCATAGCCACATTTCCCTTCTTCCTTCCATCTCTTCCCGGCTATCTCCTGCGTCTGGTTGTCTTCTTGCTTGTCTGCCTCGCCTTCCCGTGGTCGTGCTTCTGTGCAGTCTGTTCAACAAAACCTCACTCATTTTCCGTTCCCCCCCTTTCGCTGCGTCATTTTCCTATTTCCGGTCATCGAACTTCGTAGCCACATCTACCTTCTTTCCTGTTCTCTCCGATCTCTTCCCGGCTTTCTCCTGCTTCTGGTTTTCTTCTTGCGTGCCTGCCCTGCCTACCCGTGGCATGGACTACTCTCTCTCTCTCTCTCTCTCTCTCTCTCTCTCTCTCTCTCTCTCTCTCTCTCTCTCTCTCTCTCTCTCTCTCTCTCTCTCCCCACCCCCCCGCCCTCCCTTTTCTCCATTCGCTCTCGGCTGTTTGAATCGTTATTCGTCTCTGTGCTTCGTTCGCTGTTGTTTGTATAATTGGCGCGGTGTGTGTGGGGAGTGGTGATGATAACGCACTTTTGACCCGACTACGGTACCCAGTTTGGCGAGGTTTCAGATCTGATGGTCGTAAATTCTCGTAACGTAAACAGGAGAGACTGTATGGAGGGACGCTCTCCGGCAGCGAACGGAATGGTGGAAAGATTCCCCAAGTGCTGCGGTGAACTGCTTATCGTTGCTGGGGATCTTCTGTATTTTTGGCAATGAGCTGACCTTCTGTATTATTGGCAATATAACTGTATTTTGGTTGCTGGGGATCTTCTGCATTATTGGCAATGACCTTCCCTTGTGTGCAACGACCTTCCGTAGTGTGCAACGTAGCTTTCGTCGTGTGCAAAATGTAGCATTGTCTGATTGTCACCGCCGCGGGAGATCGCGTGTGGTGGTTTTCCGATTGTGGCATCAAAAAGAGAAGCTTCCGTCCGTCCGGTTTCGCATTCCCTCCTACCGTCCTACGGAACACTCCTCCGCCTCTCTGTTTCTCATGTGCGTCCTTGATTTTCTCCCTCCACCAGTTCGTGACTCTCTCATTTACCAGAGACTCGCGCCGCCTCCCCTCTCCGTACTCCATGCTCGCTTTGACCGCTTCCGAGTCGCTGTCAACGTATGTGTATTTGGTGCTGGTGTTGCTGGTGTTGATGATGTTGATGATGTTGATGGCGCTGACGAGCCTGGGTGCGCTGCACCTGAATCTGGTTGCTTTTCTGGCGCATCTTCCCGCGTTTTTCGTCCTTGTTCATCTTTTCTATCGTCCTTGTTTTTTTTTTTGTATCGGCAAAATCATGCGCTCATTTCATTTGCTGAGTGCGAGAGAGAGGTCTTGTCGTGTGCAGTTCAGCATTGTTGCGAACTAGGCAGAGGTCATGACGCCACATCTCCATCGGGTCGAACAGCGGATTGCGTTCGGTTTTTGGATAGTCCGTCACGCGAAAGAGACGCTTCCCGTTGCAATAATTTTCCTCCAAATACTCCCCGTGTCTATCTTCGCGTTGGAATGTCTTCCTACTCGAAGCTGACCGATCCAGAAACTTTAAGTTACTTGTCACATCGCTGCGTTGCTCTCTCTTTTCTCCCGGTTCGATGGTCCCTTGTCTGTCCTGTCTCTTTTCCCTGTTTGGTATCCTTTTGGTTTCGCATCTCTGTGTGCTGCTCGTAGCTTGTGTGGTAGGTAGTTCAGAGAGGTCGTAGAGCGCTGCGCGGTGGGTTCTCCAGCAAGTCGTTCGTGCCGCCATGACGCGTGTGGGCGGGCTCACTGTCGAAGCTGACCGATCGTTATACTTGCTTGTCACATCGCTGCGTTGCTCACGCTTTTCTCTCGGCTCGATGGTTGGTTGTCTCTCCTGTTGCTGCAGGTTGCGCTGTTGGGAAATTGAAGTCGCACACCATAGCGTTTGAAGCGAAAGCAGTGCCAGTCGCAAAGATGGGTCGGTTTTCTGCGGCCTTGGCCGTTGCCAGCTTGGTCATCCTGGCTTGCGCTCTCCATGTCGCCGATGCCAAGGCGCCATGTCCGTGCGCCCCTGGGACGAAGCGCTGCTGTAAGGACGGTCCCTGCCTCAAGTGCTGCAAGGATTGTGATTGCGGCCCCGGGAAGAAGTGCGTCAACGGAGAGTGCAAGCCGTCGTGCGGCTGCCCGCCTGGACTGAAGCGATGCTGTAAGGACGGTCCCTGCGTGAAGTGCTGCAAGGACTGCGACTGTGGCCCGGGGAAGAAGTGCGTCAAGGGAGAGTGCAAGCCCTCGTGCTGCCCCGAAGGACTGAAGCGCTGCTGCAAGGACGGCCCCTGCGTGAAGTGCTGCAAGGATTGCGACTGTCCCAAGGGGCACAAGTGCGTCCAGGGACAGTGCAAGTCCCCGTGCGGCTGCCCGACCCGGCTGAAGCGCTGCTGCAAGGACGGTCCCTGTGTGCAGTGCTGCAAGGATTGTGACTGTGGCCCCGGGAAGACGTGCGTCAAGGGAGAGTGCAAGCCCTCGTGCTGCCCGCTTGGACTGAAGCGCTGCTGTAAGGACGGTCCCTGCGTGAAGTGCTGCAAGGACTGCGAATGTCCCAAGGGGCAGAATTGCGTCAACGGACAGTGCAAGTCCCCGTGCGGCTGCCCGACTGGACTGAAGCGCTGCGTTCCCCTAGGTGCATGCGTGAAGTGCTGCAAGGATTGTGACTGTGGCCCCGGGAAGACGTGCGTCGACGGAGAGTGCAAGCCCTCGTGCTGTCCCAACGGACTGAAGCGCTGCTGTAAGGATGGCCCCTGCGTGAAGTGCTGTAAGGATTGCGATTGTCCCAAGGGGCACAAGTGCGTCCAGGGACGGTGCAAGCCCCCGTGCGGCTGCCCTCTTGGATTGAAACGGTGCTGTGAGGGCGGTCCCTGCGTGAAGTGCTGCAAGGATTGCGATTGTCCCAAGGGCCACAACTGCGTCAAGGGACAGTGCAAGCTTCCGTGCTGCCCCAAGGGACAGAAGCGCTGTGTGCCCTGCGGTCCGTGCAAGAAGTGCTGCAAGGATTGTGAGTGTGCCACCGGGGAGAAGTGTGTCCTGGGAGAGTGCAAGCGCCCGTGCGCAAACGCAACGGTCACAACTATCCACAAGTAAGCCATGACGGAAGAAGCGCTGCAATGGTCGTCATGGTGGGCGCGCGGGAAGAAGTGCGTTCACTGACGGTGCAACCCTGCGTGCAGGTAATGAGTGGTGAACGGATTGGTGCAGCACAATTGCTTTTCGTGAAGCACCATTAGCAGAAGCGGACGAAGCGCTGAGGCTGTCTGCAGTACGCATTGGTGCAAGTCAGCTTGCTTACCTTACTCTGGTTCACAACTACCCGCGGGCTCGACAACTTGGGTTGAACGATGCGACAGATTTAGCGGGTAGGTTTCCTTCGTAGGAAACAATAGAGGATCGAGGTTGATCCGCATCCGCCATGATTGCCACTAGGTTACCGYSTTCAGTTTTCACGAGTCCTCACAAAATCGAACTAGGCTCACTACCAACACCCGAGCCGCTGAAGTTCCGACTGCCAACACCGGGAGTTGTGCAAAAGGCACAGTGCACAGAGCGACAGCAGTGTGCTTTGTCGCTCTTGGTTTCACCCGAGCAGAGCCGGCCGGATCTGCTTTATTGTTTGCTCTCTTAACAACAATGAAATCAACTTCTCATTTTCGCTCCTGACCATTTCCGTGTTGTTGTCCGATTTCTCCCCACCTTGGTGTTGTTGATGGTTCTCTTGTCTCTACACATATGTGGATGCTGATCGACTGAGGACGTGATTTCTCCAATACCTCAGAGGGCCTCTTGATGGAATGCCTTTGCCTGCTCCCATGTTTGATGCGCAAACCCCTTGATCCCAGCCAGCCTGCACCCGAGCCTGCTTTTCCCGAAGGTGTGACTTGTAGAACCGATGGATGGAGACTCTTTCTCGGTCTTTTTCTTTATCTAATTCTCTTGTGGGAGAAATGCGCAATACTTGTTTTATTTCAATCGATTTTCAGCTCTGCAACAGTAAACCGGGAGCTGATGATGCCACCATCGTGATGGAACGCAGTCTGGACAATGTATGTTGTTCAACGCTGACATGGGAATCAAGGAAAGCAAGCTGGAGGGGACAAATGCAGTAAATACCTGGTGTGTACGAAATTGCAGGGCTGCTTTGGGTGCTCGACTTCTAGCCAAGTATAGGGCCAGCACGTTCCATTGTGACGCATGGATGACCGTTATGAACGCGCTTCGATTTCGTCCGGAGCACTAATCTGGTCCGCACGCGTAGTAGACAAGTACCTAGTTTCTGTTGAAAAATCTCTCTCTCTCTCTCTCTCTCTCTCTCTCTCTCTCTCTCTCTCTTTTCTTTTTCTTTTTCTTTTTCTTTTTTCCACACACCAGAAGCCATATGGCCCATATCTTAGAGCTGGTTCGGGGTTGAACATCAGGGATCAAGCGAATCAGTCGACTGTGTTGCATCCTCCCATTTACATCCGTTTTGCCATGAACTTTCAAGGAGTCTCATTTTCTCACGTAGAACAAACTTGGATGGTGGTCAAACAGATAAGGTTATAGGCCACGATTTTTCTTTTCAGGGTTGGGTATAAACTGTGATAGTGGCCATACGGATATCCTTATATGCTTATGGCTGCCTGCAGGCCAGCTCGGCTATGGCTGCCTGTGTATCCCTTGCTCGCCCGTGAGCGCGTTGGTGCTTGCCTGCCAGTAGCGCAGCAGCGCTTGCGCAGCAACCAGCAAGTGCCCGAATGCGGAATTCGGAGGCAGGCACTTTGCCATATGGAAGTGGCCTGCCTGCTGCGTGCTGCCTGGCTGCGCTGGGCCCCTGCCCAGAAGCTTCCGGTAGGCCCCAAGTGGCTGGGCCCCGGTCCAAGGGAATCAGGCACAGGGCCTGGGGTGGTTACCCGTGTTCAACTGCCAGACGCCTGTGTGCAGTCTCATGGTCCGTGTCTAGCCCAGGGCCTTCAGATACATTTGGAAAAAGGCAGGAAGGGCGGGGGCTCACTCAACCAACTGGCGCTGCGCAACTGCCTGAATTTCCCAGTTTCCCAAAATAGGCCTCGCGTCCTTGGTCGGGCCTGCCTTCACTTAGGGCGGCCGACATTGCTGAAAACAGGGCCCAGTAGGGCTCTCCGAGGCCTTGAGCCTCGCAATCCCTCCTCCATACTTCGACAGTCCTCTGAGAA